ATAGTTCCCCCTCATACTTACTATCAGAGTTCCAACGGAAAAAATCTTGTTGTCATAGGTAAATACGGTTTCCATTGCTTCTTCAGCTGTTAATAGACAACTATGCGGGTTTGCTGGAGAATTTGGTGACTGTTAGGATTGTTAATTAGTATCTCCGAAGCCTGGTTGTTATAGCTAAACTTAAAGCATTGGCTTCAACGCATCGCAAAACCAGAACCTTGGAGAGACCAGCGAACATCCATGAGAAAGTGAGTGAGGAGCAAGGTACCTAGCATTGTACATCCATCTGGATTTCACAACTACCGTTCCTAGGGATTTAGGATTCAGATTCGCACATCAACCAGTAAGCTTTTCTCCCAATCATCTTGATATAGAGGCAGCTATGCAAGGCGCAGCCAGGTAGTCCAATGCTCAAGCCACTTAATCAACACAAATATTATCCTAACTTACAACAAAATGACTTTGTTTCTTCTCTAACAATGGAACCGGAAAATGTTACTTTGAATGCGCGAGAAACTTCTTTGGTCGAGATGAAGAAACGTAAATGAAGAAATGAGTCCGGAACATCTCGACCAGGTACAGGCCGTTTTGTTTACATTAGGAGTCTGGAGTATCTCGCCGCAATTTCACTTGAAATCACCATGAACAGATCAACGGGGTAACTGATATTTGATTTTACGAAAAGGATAAATGTTAGACGCGGACGAAAGTTCTTTAGTCGAGGTGAAGAAACGCTAACGCTGAGAAATTGAGTCTGGAACAACTCGAGGAAGTCCGCTCTGGGTGTCTGCTTTGTTTATGTCCGGACTATGTCGCCGTTCGTTTGTTTACATTAGGAGCGAGTTTGACACCGATGACAGACTTTGGTTTTTGATGAAAATTTGGTCTGGAATATCTGGGCCAAACGCAAAAACCTTTAACCCGGGGTATACCCTGCACAGACAAAAATAGATGGTGCTGGCGACAGAACCTTCTGTTAACAGGGCTCTTGCAGATTCTTTGCCACACTTACAGAATTTTTCTGTTGTGAGAACAGCACTTCGGTCGTGGGAAAAGAGCACTCTGTCCTCATAACGGAAGTTTCTGTGACTGTTACAAAAGAAGTGCAGGAGCCTTGTGAACAGAAGTATTTATTCCAGTGTGTATGATCATCAAAATTAAATAAATGGAATTGAGACCCTAGCTGAGATGAAAATGTCATTTCCTTCCCTCCATTTCTGAAACTCCAGACTCCTATACTATTTTTTTTATTATTTTTTTTCATTTTTTAAATTTCTTTTTTAATTTATTTTTTTAAATTTCGAATAGGAATGCATGCTAGAGAATGGCTCTCTCCAACAACGGCTTTGTGGATCGCCAACCTGCTACTGAGGGAGAAGGAGAAGCTGCCAGAGGCGATGAAGAAACTGAACTACTACATCCTTCCAGTGATGAACCCCGACGGTTACGAATACAGTCGCAACGAGGACAGGATGTGGCGGAAAAACCGAAACTTGGCCTCGGGAAACCCTCGTCGCAGACAAGAACCATCTCTGCACGATTGCAAATTGGGCGTCGACCTCAATCGAAACTTTGATATCGAATGGGGCAGAAAAGAGGGAGCAAGTGACAATGCATGCGAATCGGACTATAAAGGACCCTTCGCCAATTCTGAGCTCGAAACTCAAGGGGTTGTTGGCTTCTTATCGGATAAAATCTCCAAAGTCAAGGTATGCAACGACCGTATTTTATAGTCGCTCTTTAATTTAGTTAGGAAACTATTGGGTACATTTTCTGAAATTGTACGTTTTCAACACCGTAAAATCATAAAGAATACTCGGTAAATGTTACATCAAATTACATATATTTGCTTTAATTATCCGAAGTGGTCTTGATGCCAAAAAAAAAAAAATCGACAACAATGTACCCAAAATCAAAATCTTGGCTGATCCTAATTGCGAGAAATTGCGATTTGAAATTTTCATAGTAAATGCAGGTTTTCCACTGATTTTAATCCGTTGCTTTATGTATTTGTCCATTGAATCGGTGTTGATCGGTTCACGTGTTTATTTTCCGTTCGATTCATGTCGATCGAATACATACCCTCTCGTCACATGCAGACCACCTATCATAGTCTTTTTTTAACTGAACAATTTGCCCTCTGCTGCGTCTGCAGCGATTGTTGTTATCAATATGTTGTGCGTGCTGATTTTAGCTCATGCATACTTGACCCCCTGAAGGAATTTTATGAGCGAAAGCAATTCGCCTTCAGCTACGTCTGCAGCAATTGTTGTTAGGAGTGCTGATTTTAGATCATTACATACTCGACTCTCTGAAGGCGTTTCGTTTGCGCAAGCAGCGCAATCTGTCTGAAAACAGAAGTGAGATTGAATGAATATAGCTCAGTCCCTACTTCATTAGTTCTCCGACAGATGGCGCTGCTTGCGCACATAAAACGCCTTCAGAAAGTCGAGTATGTATTGAGCTAAAATCAGCACGCACAACATATTCGTAACAACAATTGCTGAAGACGCAGCTGAAGGCGAATTGCTCAGTTAAAAAAAGAGTACGATAGGTGGTCTGCATGTGACGAGAGGGTATGTATTCGATCGACATGAATCGAACGGAAAATAAACAAGTGAACCGATCAACGCGCCGATTTAATGGACAAAAATAAGAGAGGAGGTTTGAAGAGGCTTTTGATGTAGTATCATATCAGTGTCCATAGTCAAAAGGTACCTAACTCTTATTTTTGAAAGTATCGAATCAGTGTCATTTTGGAAATCTCCATTAATGGTTCCGTGTGTGTGAAATAATTGGTAGCCCTATCTCACGCCGGTTATGACATGCGGAATTTCAAAAATTGCGATTTACATTGGAATCCGTTGGACCGACACATGCTTTTTCCCCGATACCCCGGAATGACTAAAATGGAGTTAGATACCAATTTACTCTGGGGTACTGATAAGAAAAGAAGATTTTTACGAAGTTCCAAGTAAAATTCATCTGTACAACTTTGGAAATAAATGCAGATCTTCACAAGGGATTCCGGTGCTATTTCAACACAAATGGTACAAAATGTAAATGAATAAATTCAATGGTCTCGAGCACTTTTAATGTGGGGACGGACCTTCCTCAATTTATTGGCAAAACCAACAATATAATTAATTTCGTATTTTTTTACCTAGTGACAAAGTACTGCAATTCCTTGTGTCGTCAAGTAGGAAGTTCTTAATTTGGATTTAGGAAATACGAGCCAATCAACAAAAAACACTCAATAAATGGTCATCCTTCGATCAGATCCGCTCTTTCCTCCTCTAAAAATGTTACTTAAAAACATTGGCAGCTACATCACTTTGAAATGCAGATACAGAAAATTTTGTTTACAAGAATAAATTTTGCATCTCTCTAAATATCTTGATTGTAAGAAAACCTCATTACGATGTTGGTCAACTCCTTTTGCTTAACACTGCTTAATTTAAATCATATAATTTTTAGGCGTTCCTGACATTCCACACTTATGGTCAATATATTTTGTGTCCTTACGCTTACGCCAGAAATGCCCCACTGCTCGAAAATCAGCTGGAGCTCATTAAAATTGCTAGAACAGCGGCCAAGAACATCATGAAAATGTCGGGTAGTAATTACAATGTGGGAAAAATTACGGATTTCTTATATGCGTGCACCGGTAAGCCATCCATTCACAGAACTAGAGATTGGTCATTTACGTCAGTCACTGCACCCGTTTCCTTATTATACTCTATGATACAAAATTATAAAAGTAACACGTAACGCATAATGCATGAGGGAGGCGCCAAGCGCTTTCGAGGGGATGGGAAGTGGTCAGGGGGTGCACTAATGGTGGCAAAATTTTATGAAAAATAAAATCTTGAAATCTCACTTGAAATATTTCATGTTGTTTCAGAAATGTATGAAAGGTATATTGAAAAATACTGGTTCCTTTTCGTGACTTTCTTCCATTTTTGTGTGTTTGAAAGCGGGTTGTATACTCTAGCCCCTGAAAAATATGAAATATTTCACAGCCCTGTAAAATTTCATGAAATATTTCACTGAAGTTTCCAATCTTTCCTTTCTCTCTTACGTTTCATGCCACCCTAGGCGTACCTCCAAGTAAATAATTAAAAGTAGACTCGCAAAGAATAGATATTGGGAGGGGTTATAGGACATTTCTTCGACGATTTTTTGTCCGAGCACTTGTTTTTTCCAGTAGTTTAAGTCCACACGTTTTTTCGGCAGGGGAGTTTTGGTCCACTTATCAATTATTGAAACCCAAAGTTAATTGGTCTACATGTAAATACGAATAACATTTGCTCACGACGTTTTTGGATGAAATGTATAATGTCTTGGAAGAATGAGGGTTTGCTCGTTTTTTGTTTGTTTGGTTGGCCAAACGGAAACAAATTTATAATTGAGGATTTTGGCGTCAATTCCATGAGGAAAAATTCACTAAAACTCTCTACACCTGTTTGGTGCAACAGGACTTAATTATCTTTCAAGCAAATCCCATCCTCTTACACCTGAACCGGATGAACCTTTTGATTTTCCTCAGCTAAAGGCTCTTAGATTTTTCCTGTGAACGATAACTTCGCGACGGCGCCGGCGTGCCTTGGCGTTTCAAACTACTATTTCACCATGAAGGTGTTGCATAGTATCATACAAGATTGAAGGCACCCTAACGTATCATGATTGATGGCATCTTTCAAAAGCACGAAGCAATTAAATCGAGTGACGACGAAAAAAAGAGAGCTGTAGTTGAAAAACTTGCTAAGTCCTAGTATCTGGATCCAGTAATGTTTAGCATGGTTTTTGAACTTAATTAGAGGAAAAAGTGACTTGATTCAAGCAGAAATATGCTCAAATTTACCGCCGAGAGGATTTCCTTATAAATCAATAAAGAAAATAATGCCTGTTTAGAGAAGAAAGGATGCTTAAATAAAAAGAAAAGTCACTTAGATCAACTAGAAAGCCGCTTTCATTCAGCTATTTTATTCTTGATTCAAAATAAAATCTTCTTGTGGGCATACTCAATAATGTTTCTGCCTAAATAGAGTCACATTTTTCTCTAATGAAATTCAAAAATAATGCTAAAAGTTATTAAATACGGATGCTAGGACTAAGTGAGTTTTTTTATTACCGCTTTCTTTTTGTGACGCAGTATCTTGATTTATTTTGCAAGAAAAGCTCTGTACCCTTAAATGAAGCTTGTCATTCTTGATACGTTGGAGCGCCTTCAATCTCGTATGATACTGTGCAGCACCTTTGTCGCGAAATAGTTGCTTTAGACGCCGCGGCACGCTGCGGCGAGGCGAGGCGGGCAGAGAGCGCGGAACGCGCATTGGCGCCTACAAACCTAACAGGGATACTTCACGCATTGCGCAACGCGTGAAGTATCCCGTTAGGTTTGTAGGCGCCCGTGCGCATTCTGCTCTGTGTTAGGCTATAGTATTTAAACTCGGGGAGTCAGCGTTTTTCAACTCATGATTTTGAAAGGTTTGCACGCTCTGCGTTGATTATTATTCTCATTTAAATTGATGAAAAAAAATATGGATAATATAACGTTCGTTTTGAAAATATTAAGGTGGTTTCGTGTCTAATTTAATGATTTCCAAAGCTTTTTAATTTTACCTTTACATTTTGTGTTTTTACTGTGCTGCAGCGTGGTGTATTCGCAACCAAACGCCTAAAATTGGACGTGTTTGACTGTAAAAGATCAATTTAAAAAGTGGGTTAAAACAATAGATTGCGTCCTCCTTGGTTTTTTCTCTCTTTTTCATTTTTGCATTGTTCTTTTCAACACAAGTACGGCTCATTGAGATTAATATCGATGCCATCGCTTGGAAAAGGTTTTACAAATATTTGCCACGTTTTAAAAATATAATGTTTTTAAAATGAAGTAATATTATCATTTATAAAAAGGTTTATATATACGGGATATTTTAAATCGACAATTTTACAGATAGAAGTGAAACCAAATATTCACCAATGAAAATTTGAAAGATGAATAGAAAGAAGAAAGTAACATTTCATTTAAAAAATGAGTTACCATAACAACACCTTCTCTCTAAATTTTCTAATTCGATATCGGCAATATAATTTTACATACGGACTGGAATGTACCCTTTGGACCAGGGCACCGTTTCTTATTTTAAGCGTGGACGTAAATTACTGGACTAAACAGGTGCCCGGACAAAAAATCGTTGACGGAATGTCTTGAAACCATTGGGAGGCATACTATCACCAAATTCTGCATCCAATGTCAATGGAGACACAGCCCATCAAAAAAAAAAAAAAAAAAAAGATCTTACGCCCCCTATATCCAGTAGTAAATCAATATGAGCACTGAGCTTGTAAGGACACGCTTTATCAGATCCTTACATCTGGAAACAAAAAAATATCTCCCTTGAAAAAAGAAAATGTATCTTTTAGAAAAAAAAGAGGGGAAAAATCATTTAAAATATCAGAACTCAAGCAGCGATGTCTTCCGTTTTATCTCTTGTTATGGGCGTATGCAGCAACGGGTCGGGCTGATGAACGTGTAACAGAGCATTGACGTTGAGTTTCGCGAGAAAAAAAGAAGGCCCCTTCAAAACATTGGATATGCAGCTCAGACATCCGTTGAGGTACAATAGTTGCATCCGGGCTCTCCAGGGGCGGACTGGCAGTCGAAGAGTTAGGAGGCGACCTACATTTGGGGGCCCCTCCTGTCGTTCAGGGGCACCTCTAAGGAGGATACTCGTATGTACTTGATCTATTTCTGTTTTATTTTCGTTTTTGCAGGCACTTCCATCGACTGGGCCGCCTCGCAAGGGATCCCATACGTCTTCGTCATGGAACTATCCAAAGACAGCTTTATTCTACCGGTCGCAAATATCATTCCAACCGCCAGGGAAGGTTTAGAACTCGTCAAGGCCGTAGCGGAGGCAATCGTCGAACGTAAATAAGATTTTTCAGGCAGTTCAGCTCTAATTTTTAGAGAGGCTCATGCGGGTGGCCTCTGGCCTTACTTTAAAAATGTCAATCTTTTTGAAATTAACAACCCGAATAACACAAGCCACAATAAATTTGAATGGGGCTCTTGCATGTCCCGGGGATTTTGAGAACATATTTTATATTTATTTCAATGTATTAAATTAAATTAATTTCTCATTTGATTCGTTTAATTTGATAAAGTTTTACTAAATTAAAGTCGAGGGTCTTCCCTGAAATTATTGCTTTAGAATATTTTCACCTCTTTGCCATACCAGTCAGAGATCTGAAGCCACTTTTTGAATTGTGTAATAATGAACTTTAATACGTTAATACTTAATGTGCCTATAATAATGGTAAATGAAACTACTAGAGAAGAATTCTTGAAATTATCATTTTTTGTCAGCTCTATTTTCATGTCTCTCACTCTAAACTTGAACGTAGCGCAAAACTTCCGATGAGTCCAGTCCTAATCATCTTTGCACAAATTTGGGTTCGATCCCCCCCCCCCCTCCTCATAACAGTCTTCGAGAATTTTGCGAAGAAAATGAAGCTTTTTTTAAAAAAAGGAAATTTGGGTAATACGAATAGAAATTATCAAACACCACACTCAAGACCCGCTGTCTGGTTGAATCACCATCGTTGGACGTATTTATGTTGAAAGGAACTTCTTTCTTTGAATTTTTCGTCCATTCGGCATATTTTTGTGTGGGGCTTCAGTTTTACTCACTTATCAAGATCATTACATCTGATGATTCCTGCGATAGACGTAAGCCACGTGTGACGGCATAACCTATATAAAAACTTCACTCACCGATTTTTCGAGGTTCTTCGCTTCAACATCTTAGCGTGGCCCGTAAGTGCTGGTGCGTTTCATTGCAATTCTTTGTAGCTCTTTGAATTTTTACCTAGTTTTGCATAAACATCCTCTATGCTTCCAACGCGACTATAAGTGCCCTCGCCTTTATATTGATTTCGGCTGATCAACTCAAACCATTTTCTTTTACGTGCGATGGAAAAAGTCAACTCCTTGTATAGTTTTAAAAAATGTGTCCTATAGTTCTCTCCATGATCGCTCCCAATAATTTTTCTCTTCGATGTCTCGGAAATTTCCCAAAATGTTAAATTTTTTGGAGACTCCAGTTTATTTCCCTCGGACGGATGTCTGTATATTTGTGATTTAGTCTTAACTTGAGGAGGATTTAAGCACCTATTTTAAATAAGAATGGGTCCAGTCCCTAGATAAAAAAAGTAGGAAAGAAAAAAAGTTAAGTTAAGGAAAAAGTTAAGTTAGGAAAAGTTAGGAAAAAAAGTATCACAGTCCCAACTATACACTGGAAAAAAAACACATTGGATCTAGAGTCCAGACTCTTGGAAACATCGACAAGAAAAAATAATCTTGATTCAATCAGATTTAAGCTTAAATCAAAAGGAAATCCGCTCAAATTAAGAGGCTTGGTTCTTGATTTAAGCTTAAATCTGATTGACTCAAGATTATTTTTTCTTGTCGATGTTTTTAAGAGTCTGGACTCTAGATCCAATGTGTTTTTATTTCCAGTGTACTCCTGGCTGATTTTAGAGCCAGATATAAGAGTAGTCTTACTTCTACCGAAAAACGGTTGGATCAACCATACCTCTAGTTGTACCTTCATAGTCAGCATAAGTGTGGTCAGATTCACTATACCGCTGGATTGTGCCTTTACACCTCAAGCTAGTGCAACTACTCTAATGGCTGGCGCCAAAATCAGCTAGGAATACAGCCGGGGTGAAGATACTTTTTTTTCAGTGATCGGAATACAAAAAAGTACACTGTTAAGCGGTGAAAATGAAAAATTTGTACAGTTTTATTAATGTAAAAGTAAGGTACAAAAGTGGAACAGATAAAGTGCAACTGGGAGAAAAATTAGAATAAAAATAGTCTTCACAGAGTTAGAGAGGGAAACCCGCATTCTATCACAATTCACCTCGTCTCCTCTGAGGAGAAGATTTTGTGCAGATTTGATCTCTATGAGGCAATGTTCAGTTGCTCATAATAACATGTACATACTACTCAGATTCATTATGATTGTTGCAAAATAATACTATATATAGACTCTAAATCACCAGAATTCAAAGCAATCACAGCGCGATTTGATTATAAAGGAGGGGGTTTGATATTGCAGCAACGTTATGCTAAGTTCACTAAACGGAGAAAATCAATTAAATCATTCGTAGTCGTTGAGAGTTTTACAAGAGACGACACTGAATCAACTCAGGTCAGACAGGACTGAGATTATAGCCTCCAATACTTATATTGCAAGTGGTTCTTTATGACCCATATCATTTCTCAATGTTTTTTTTTTACATATACGTTTTAATCGTGCTAAAATTGTACGAAGGTCTAGCCCAACATTTTTTTTCATCTTATGAGTCAGTGGTAAAGTTTTAAGCACCATTTTTAAATCCATGCATGAAATAAAAATGAAAATGGTGTGATTCATACTAGAAGGTACAAAAGAGCAGAGAAGCTAACAACTTCATTTGAGAAAAATCTACACTAAGGCAAAGTAGCCAAGACAATTAAAATCGACATTTTGTCTGATTCAATTAAATCATAAAAGCCATTCGGCCGCTTCCTTTTCAAATGTATGTACTTAGGCATTTCTATTTTTTATGCTTCAACCTTATCTATAAAAAAATCTAGTGGTGTAGAAGATGAACATTTTTTAATTTAGTGCCCGATATCAAAGATCTATTAGTTGACTGAATAGTTACTTGCTGTAAAAACAGATCAATGGAGAATTTGCACGCAATTTTTTATTGCATCGTCTAAGAGTGCTTAAAGAGCTGATTTCGCAGTACCTACATACATTTCTATCTAACATAGGACATAGTTTAAAAATAGATGTAAAAGTGAGGAAATGAACCGTCAAGTGACGTCATCCGGATGCATTTCCCATTTAAACACATGTATTTTACCAGATTAGATTATTTTGGTCATATATTCCCCAATAATTATTGTTCAATTTATGAACCAACGGTATCCTCGTGTACAGTTCTTTTATCAGTTTTTCTATAAACAGGAAATTCATCAAATCTCAGGCACCTGCAAATTCTCTACCAAGAAACATAATTTATCGATTATTAACTAGGTAATAACTGGATGAGATTCAAAATTCAGCACAATTTGTAAACGGCGTGGAGGCATCTGCAAATTCTCCTTCAAAAATCATAATTTATCGATTATTAACTAGGTAATAACCGGATGAGATTCAAAATACAGCACGATTTGTAAACGGCGTGGAGACATCTGCAAATCCTCTATTAAAAAACATAATTTATCGATTATTAACTAGGTAATAACCGGATGAACCGTGAACCGGAACAGTGAAGAGATGGAGAGATGCCAGCTTCCGGAGGATCTCTAGGTACCATGACAGATCCCTGTGGCGAGTAGGCGTCGCAGAGCGCCCTAGCACGCCGTAAAAGCGGCTTTTATACATACATAACCGGATGAGATTCAAAATACAGCACGATTTGTAAATGGCGTGGAGGCATCTGCAAATTCTCCATCAAAAGACATAATTAATCGATTATAAACTAGGTAATAACCGGATGAGATTCAAAATTCAGCACGATTTGCAAACGGCGTGGAGGCATCTGCTAATTCTCCATCAAAAAACATAATTTATCGATTATTAACCAGGTAATAACCGGATGAGATTCAAAATACAGCACGATTTGTAAACGGTGTGGAGGAACCTAAAACCTAAACTAAAAACTACGAGAGCACTGGTAACTCGTTTCCGATCTGTGCGAAGTGATCCCTGCCGCCGGTTTTCTGGTAGTCGTACTTCTTACCCTCCAGTTTCTCGTGCCACTCGCGGGGTTGTTTCTGGACCTTCTGGAGGGCGTTGCGGAGGAGGTAGTTGTGGAAGCGGAGGACGGCCGGGATGCGGGAGGTGTGGCAGAAGAAGAGTTTGGTGAGACCGAAGAAGAAGTTCTGGACGACGGTGAGCTTGGTGGAGACGGAGGGGATCTGGATGTCCAAGGCCCAGCACATGTAGCTCAGCGAGACCTCGAACGTCACGCCCGGGATGTAGTAGGAGATCCCTTCGACCATGCATCGAGACATGTGCTCCCAATCGGGACCTGCGTCCTTGAACCTGGAAAAAGAAGAAAGTCGCATTAATTATTGAATTTTTGGGACTAATTAGGGACATGAGCAAAGAATGTCGGAGGAGAGGTTGCCCAAACAAGTTTTGGATTGGGTACCACCTGGGAAGAGGCGACGGGGACGTCCCATAAAGGGGTGGCAGCAGGGTGTTGACGAAGAGATGTTGCGGTGTCAGTTGCCTGATAATGAACGTTTATAATGACGTTCCGAACAACAAATTTTGCCCGAAAACTATTTCTAAATATGTATTTTTATCCATCTGGCGTGTCCTCAATTGTAAGGGAATTTCATCAAAATGTGTTAGGGAAATGGCAGGGAATTTCATTTTTTATATTTGGTGGCAGATTTGACTAATTGGACGGTCACAACCATCAGTGAGAGTTTTTTTTTTTTGGTATTATTTATTCAATGTTAACTACTGTACACAGTATTACAAACAATTTTATTAAATTTACATATTGAAGAGTTTACACATTTTTGTACGACCTCGCAAAAATTCTCAAAAATATACTTTTACTCTGGCCTAGAGAAAATTTACAGTAGAGCGATTACAGTGAATGATCGATTATCGACAGTTTCCCATGAAACTATGATAAAGAATCGATTATTAAGGTGTTTGTTGCGAGCATCCTGTTTATCGATCCTCTCCCATAAATTTAAAAGGCAGATCAATCAATTTATCGCAAAGCCCACCACACCAATGAAAATTTACCCTCGCTTGGCTAACGTTAAAGGCCTCATTAAATCTCCCTCAATCACAATGTAATCCAACCAGGGCTTCCTACGTTGAAGTAACTGATTAAAAATCGATAACACTAAAAAAAAAAATTCGGTTATATGAACCGAACGTTCGATGTTTCATGTCATCCAAAATATTCGGCTTGTCAAACTGAACTTTTGGTTCATGTAGCTGAACGTTCGGCATGAATGACCAAACTTTCTTCGTCAGTTCATTTTATCGCACAAGTTTGGTTACACGAACCGAATAAGTTGGGATGATGTGGAACAGTGGTGTGGCGTGCTTTGTGACATATCGATTAATCTGCCATTTAAACCTGTGGAAAAGGATCGATTATCAGGAAGTTCGCAGCGAACACCTTGATAATCGATTCTTTACCAGAGCTTCAAATGGGGAAATATCGATATATGAGGACTTATATGTAACAATGGTGAATGTGAAAAATTACCGTTTTGAAACACATTAAAAAAACTGTTTTGCCATCGAGAAAATTTTCAGAAAATACTTGAGATGTGATCTTCGAGATCTGTACATTATGCCATAGCCAAACATATTAAATTTTTGTGTGAACAAAACAGTTTTTTAAGCGTTTTTCGAAAAGGTAATTTTTCACATCCGCTATTGTTACATATAAGGCCTCATATATCGAAGCACTGATATGGAACACCGAACTTCGGTCCACACGACCGAACCCTCTTTTTCCAGTGTATAAATACAGTCGGTCCTTAAAAAGAGGTTAATCATGTATTTTTTTCAAATCCCAAGTGAAAATACGAACCGAGGCTTGATGAGGAAGTCCAAAGTATACGCAGTCCTCTGTCGGACTTCAGCGAGAGTGCCCTGGCAGAAATTGAAGCGGTCTTCGATGCCAAGCAGGTACCCGATGCACCTCCAGAGGTGGGCGAAACCCTCCAACTCCTCATCCGTGGCCGAACCAGCTCCGAACTTCCCCGGGTACAGGAGAACCAGCCCCACGAATCCGAATTGCGTGATGCTCATGTCCGTCTGACTGAAGTACAGCCGTGTCGCCTCCGCATCCTAAAAAAAACCGAAACCCCATTTTAAAATAGTATAAAAGTAGAGAAATCAGGGAGTAAAANTGGGTGTGGAAAAGGACAGGTCAGGGAGTATCAGGTCCAAGCAGTTGGTCTGGTATGGACATGTGCGAAGGATGGCAGACGATCGGTTGCCCAAGCAGGTTTTCGATTGGGTTCCCCCCGGAAGGCGATGGCGAGGACGTCCTGTGAAAGGTTGGCGACAAGGGGTGGAAGAAGAGATCAGAAGGTGCCAATTGCCTGATAATCTCTGGGAGGATAGGGGGCAATGGCGATTGGGCGTCGCAGAGCGCGAGGCTGCACTATAAAATCGGCTTTATGTGCGTATTATTATTAGCAATGGAGTGAGTGAAAATGAAATAATTCCCGCTAAAGAGGCAGGGGTGATGCTACAGGGAGAAATGACCCAATCAGAACGCCGGCGATTCATTTGCACGTAATCTGGGCAATATTTCAAAATTAGTAGTTACTATCTCCTCTTCTCTCTTACCAATGATTGTTAAATATTTTCTATACATTTATCATTTAATATATTTAAGTGTTGTTTTATTCACGCCCATCTTACCTGAAGCTCCTTCTTGAAAGCCTCATCGAAACCGGCAAAGGGGCATGTTCCAGCGAGGTCCTTCCGGATGCCCTGGTAGCTGGGGCACCAGACCCCCTCTCGACCCGGTTCGCCGGCCATGGTGCCCCGCCGCGCGATTTCCTCCCTCGGGCACCCGTTCAGTTTGCGACTCGCGTTCAGGTGCATCGCCCGCACAGTGCGTAAGTTCTTGTAGCCCACGCTCTCTGTGTCGAATATATCACAGTCAATCCAGGATTTCACCCGCAGGCCCGTCGATAAGTACCTGAAAGCAAATGCAATTGGAGTCATTTGAACGGGAAACAAGCAGGAAACTTGCATACATCGTCACCTTCCGGCTAGAGTCCCTTTATGAAGAGAGTTGAGACAACGCGGCTCACGGATGTTACAAGCGGGAATAAAGATTACACAAATTGGACGTTTTTTGAAATCTTTGATCAACCCATTCTCGAATTTCTATTTCCGCTCCCTCACTCATTCCATTTGTTCCTTGCCGTACTCCTTATTTCCCGGTCCATTCCAGTTTATAATATTTGCAGTTGGTGAAAATGTAATCTTTATTCCCGTTTGTGACACTGCGAAGGCCTAAAATACGGGAACCAATCAGAAATAGATTCGCATTGTCTTTACTCTCAGTATAATGGGAGTGTACTGCCAATAAGTATCTTAACGAGCAGACGCAAGACGACATCGGTAATAACGCCTTGAAGCAACTATTCGAGCCTCGCGGATGTCCGTGTTGCATACGCAAAAATTGAAGGCGTTTTACTTTACTAGGTTTCTCAGCACCGGCGCACCACGTCGCGTGCTGCCAGCAGGAAACGAGCGCTGGCGCCTTCAAACCTAACAGGGATACTTCACGCATTGCGCAATGCGTGAAGTATCCCTGTTAGGTTTGTAGGCGCCTATGCGCGTGACACGCTGGTTGCCCGCCGCGCTGCAGAGTGCCACGGCGCGCCGCGCTGCCGCGGTATTTGCAATCGGTGAAAATGTAATCTTTATTCCCGTTTGTGACACAGTGAAGGCCTAAAATACGGGAACTAATCAGAAATGGATTCGCATTGCCTTTACTCTCAGTGCAAGGGGACTATACTTTTGGCCGAAGTACCACAAGCGTCACGCAACGTTTCAAAATTTCAGCTGACATTTTATTTTTTTACAGAGAAATTGTCCTACGAAGCTGTCCAAAAATTTCACTGAATTTTCTTTGTGCTGCCGAATAAAGTCAGTGAAATTTTCAAACAGATTCAAGCGACAATTTCTCTGAAAAAATAAAATGGCGGCGGAAATTTTGAAACGTCGTCGCATGACGCTTGTGATACATTGGCCGGAAAGTGACGACATATCGACGATGAAACTCCCAAACCACGTATTTCGTTCAAGATGATTTAAAATCTCGGGTCCTGTTTTATTCTTCGAAGGTAAAATGAATCAACATTTTTCCCTGTATTTTCACATAATTTTCTTCGCGCAAGAGAAAAACTATCACGGTAGTGTTTCATAGGCAGATTCAGACATTTCAAACGGGAGAAGCCGGTATGGTAGGGGGGTCTGGAGGGTTCTCCCAGAAAAGTTTTCAAAAGTTAAAGTATCTAATATGCAGTTGTGGTCAATTTCGTCATTCATAGTCACCAAATATACGCGTCCTTCCTTCCTCTTCCCTCCATCCCTTCTTTCTTTCTTTTCTCCCTTTTTCTTACTCCTTTTTTTCCGGGCGAACGGATGGGGCGTTACGCCTCCCCCTGGATCCGTTCATGCGCAGTTTTTAAGAATTGACGTTGAATAGTTTTTTATTAAAAAATGAAGTACGAGTATACCAAGCCTATATAACGCTGAATCCGAGATGCGTGGTTTGGGAGTTCCATTGTCGATATGAACATTGACATCTTTTTAAAAATTTTAATCAAATTTCGTTTTTTGAATTGCAAAACTTCACACCATTTTAATTCTGACTCGATGCTCTGGTACGAAAAATTCCTCAAATTTCATTATTTGGACTAAGGTTCTTTTTCTCGTGGGCAATCACGCATGCCTCCAATGAATCGTATTCGATACATCGAGCAGGTGAGATTGTATCGAAGTAGATTGGTTCAACATGTAAACATAGCCTCCAAAGTCAATTGAATAATCTGTGGGAACGGGTTTTTTTTTTGTGATAAATTTTTTATGCTTGTGTATCACATGACAATGAAAAAAGAAATTGTTAGGAATGTTCTCCTTTCAGCTATTCTAACTTAAATCATAAAATTTTTGTTTAAGGTTGTATTCTGTTGTTTTGAACCAAACGATACATCGAACCACTATCGAATATACGATCAATTGGACCGCGTTAAACAGAAAAGAACCAAGCCACATGAGCTATTGCCAAATTTAACAGGGACATTTCATTTTTTACGAGAGAACGTTAGTGCGGATTTCTTTAAAACATTTTAGGAATTTGCTTCGCACTGTGGAGAAAATCCACTGAAATTTGCAGAAAAATCCGCACAACCGTTTTCACGTAAGACATTAAATTGCCCAATTAAACTTGGCAATAGTTGATGTGGCTTGGTTCCTTTCTGTTTAACGCGGTCCAAATATGTGTTTAAATATTTACCTTTTGAAGGCTTTATAAGGTGTGTGCGAATTTCCGGTGAATATTAAAGGCTCGAGGGTTCTATCAGGGAGAAACAGCAGGTACAAAGAGACCATCTCGGCGAAGTTGATTCCGAAGTAGTACTTGTGGCCGAACTGACGACCTAGTTGATACTTCTTCTTGTCAAACCAGCTTGGCACATCCTCAATAGGCACTTGAAAGCTGTCAGGCAACCCGACCTTCGTCCCGTCCCTGATTAGCCTTGAAAATGGGAAGGATATTTCATTAAAATTGCAAAATACAAGGTCGTAAAAAGAAATGTACGTGCAGACCATGTCTCCACATCAACGACAAAAATATGTTTTACTTTATACTTTTTCAACGTGGAGTGTCAGGTTCTGTTAAAAAAAAGTACCGTCAGCTAATTGTTAAAAACCTACAATGGAGAATTTGCACGCAAATTTTTTATTGTTTCATATGAGAGTGCTTAAAGATCTGTTTACGCAATACTTACTATTGTTTTTTTCTGATATGGGAAATTGTAGAGTGACCGATTGAAGTAAGGAAATGTGCCGCCCTGTGACGTAATCAGGTGGCATTCTCCATTTAAACACATGTATTTTAGAAAATTGGATCAATTATTTGTCATACATCTTCCAATTATTATTTGACTCACGAACCATAAAGCTATCTTTGAGTTTAGTTCACTCAGTCGATTCCGCTCAAACACAAAATTAATCAAATTTGAGACAACTGCGAATTCTTTATTGCGGTGGATACAAAACAATCAACTTCTACGTAGGTTATACGGCCTAAACTCAAAATTGAAGGCGTTTTATAAGCATGCAGAATGAGTTCCAATTCTCTCAAACAAGATACAACAGGAAATTAGATCAGTAAAATTGAATGGTTCATTTTTGCAGAAGCATACTTTTCCCTCTTATTCAGGTCTATGAAAGAAATTTGTAAGGAGTAAACTGCTGAGATGTGCCTCTGTGCGTATCGGATTTGTTTTTTGCGTAAAAGCCCTCAAGGATTTCAGCAAAATGTGTCCATCATTTCAATGTTTTATCTTCTCCCGCAATAGATTCACCTTAAATACACTAGGAAAAAAACACACTGTATCTAGATTCCAGACTCTTAAAAACATCGACAAGAAAAAATACTCTTGATTCAATCAGATTTAAGCTTAAATCAAGAACCAAGCCTCTTAATTTGAGCCGATTTCCTTTTGATTTAAGCTTAAATCTGATTGAATCAAGAGTCCTTTTTCTAGTCAATGTTTTCAAGAGTCTGGGCTCTAGATCCAATGGGTTTTTTTCCAGTATGTTCATTATTAGTACCCATTTTTATACCATAAAACCTAAAAATTCTATATTATTACCTTAAGAATTCCGCAGCTCCATCGGGCAGGCTCGCGAGGACTTCCTCCGGGAGGTGTGCGGTTACGGGCGAGGTGATCCCGTCTGAAGAGGGTGAGTCCGTCGAACTGACCGAATTTGTGTCTGAGGTTGATGAAAGGTTGTCATCGGACGAGTTGAAGCCGCTGTCGTTTTTACCCTTCGAAGGGTCGGCGTCCTTCCGGGGGTCCCTCAGGGCGCAAAGGGATTCGCCCTCCTCGGAGGAGGCATAACCGGGCTCTTTGAAGGCGCTATCTGCCTCCGTTTTGATCGTCATGTTTAAGGCGTGGGCCTCTCTCTAACCGAAAAAGCCCATCCCTCGTCTTGATCTTTTATCAGAGATTTTGTCTTGAATCTCGTTCTTTTACATCTGAAACAAATGATAAGGAAGCGATTAGGATTTGAAGGAAATTAGTCATACATTTTAGAAGATATTTTGAGCACACTGGAAAAAAAAACACATTGGATCTAGAGTCCAGACTCTTAAAAACATCGACAAGAAAAAATACTCTTGATTCAATCAGATTTAAGCTTAAATCAAGAACCAAGCCTCTTAATTTGAGCGGATTTTCTTTTGATTTAAGCTTAAATCTGATTGAATCAAGAGTCCTTTTTCTTGTCAATGTTTTCAAGAGTCTGGACTCTAGATCCAATGTGTTCTTTTTTCCAGTGCAAGTAAGACCTAAATACTTAGCCTTTGTAATATTTTGCAAATAACACGATGGTGATACTGCGCAAGTAGTACATTGGAGCGAAAATATCGGTATAATTTTGAACTTTGTGTGCTCAAATTGAATTTTTTAAAAAAAAAAAAAAAAAAAAAAAAAAAAAAAAAAAAAAAAAAAACTTTTTTCCCCTTAAAATTGCAATATTTGTACATAATTTGGTCAGTAACTACCGATTTTAAAGAATTATCAAAATGAGTTTCGTGTGTGAGGAAGGTAGGTAGGGTGCATTGCGAAGTAAATAGCAACTTGTTTCAATTAAAGGGGCCCCTTCAATCAGTGAATAGGCAACAAACTTAACACTCAGATACAGAAGCACTAGTGGCGCTACCTCTAGTAACTGCAAAATACAAAATGTAAATATGTAATATGTATGTATGTAAATATGTATACTACTCGGGTGGTTATCTCTGAAACGAGCCCCTAGCATAAAATTGCATTAATATTTCTGTAAATAATATTTATTGACGGTTTTTCTCGCAAACCACGACATTTATACAAATCCCGTGTATCCATATTGATTCTAACGGTTTCACGGAAATAGGGACTTTACAACTCTACCCCTTTCCCCTAATTAGAGGGCTGAAACTTTTACCAGGCATCAGAGGCGTTTATTAGTTATTTTATTATTTATATTATTTATTAGTTATATTATTAGTACAATATCTGTGCAAAGTTGGGTCCAAAACTAAGATGGGGCCAAAATCTTTTTTTTTTCTTTTTAACGACATCTTTGCTTCAATTTGATAGAAAGAGAAAACATTCAACAGATGGCACCTCCTCATCACGTCAGATTCAAGCCTCACTTTACGTTACCGAAAAGCCCTCTAATAATTCATGATAAGAAAATACACATCCACACATCAGCATCAGCTTCTTTATCAGTACCTCGTAACTGTGGCAACTTTTGTTTAAGTAACATCACATTCCAGTTTCATTCCATTCCTGTGTTAGTTTTAACTCCCGAAACGATGAAAATGGGGATCCGAAATATATTTTTACATCCATCTTATTTTTTAATCCCAGTTTCAATTTTGATACAGTGATATAATTTGTTAACATGAAGTTGCATCCGAAAAGCATTAGTCTCCCAGGTCTTTTCTTTAGTTTAGGTCTGTTGTTGGTAAGTTTTCACATTCTTCATGTCAAATCATTATGGTAATTTCTATACATTCACTTTTTTTGGTCATTCTAAGCGAGCGACTCTGCTATAACTTGGTTTGACTTTCCCTTAAGAATAAGAAAGTGGGTCCCCCTTCGCATAAGAATTATGCTCCACATGAGATATCCAACAGACTGAGGTATAAACAATACACTGGAGTTCGCAGGAATATAACACTTAAGTGTTAAGATAGATCCAATTTCTTTTATGCTGATGTGCAGGGACCAAACCTCATAACACGATCCTGTATCTTGCACAATGCGTCTAAAAAGCAGCCAGTAAGCAAATTTTCGCGAGTGGATTTGGTCGAAGTTTTTAACTTACTGCCACCCTCCGTTACAATAAAACGAAATTCCCTCTGGACGACGGACGACGCACAGTGGATTGAATCAATTAGAGAGGTCGGACATCAATTTTTTTTACAAAAACTGCAAATTTTGACGTTTATTTCGTCACCTTTTAAACTTTAATGGGTGCATCTAGAAAATAAATTTCACGAGGAAACCTTCTCTTCTTTCTAGTTTTATATCTCGAGTGCGAACTGCAAAACGACCGACAAGTATTTCGGCAACCAAAACGAGCCTCTGCAACAAGACATAGCGAAATACCTGCAAGCCCTGGAAAAGTTCGAGATCAACAACAGCAGCTTCCAAGAGCTAACATCGAGCATCAAAAACTTCTTCAAATACATCAACTTCAGACGACAAGACGAACTCGCCTCCTTGCTCTTCACGTACGCCAAGTTGCGACCGGACTTGTTTCCTCTCGTACAGGAACGCAAAGTCGCTTACAAGAAGTTCGCGCACGGCAAAACCAACATCGTCATCAGGAGAAACGACAGTGTCTTGTTCATGATCTTCACGAGTCGGCCGGGGGTCGAATGGATGCGCAAAAAGATCATCATGGTCGAGGAGAAAAAGGCCGATAAGAAAAAAGATGCGGCGGCAGAAGGAATTATAGACATAAGAGATATAGATTTCAAGCCGGAGAAAAAGCCGAGACAAGGGAATAAAAATGTAGGGAAGCAAGGGAAGGGGAGGGAGGAAAAGGAGAATAAGGTTAGGAAGGAGCCTGGGATGCATTTCAAAGGGATCGACGGGGTACTTAAGCATTGGGTGCTGGTGCAACTGAAGTGGCCGAGGACAGACGATGCACTTTCCAATTGCACGCTGGTGGCTGAGTATCGATGGGACAACGTTGTAGGCCAAACGTACTCGGAAACTCTGATGGAGCAGCTGGAAATCAACCCAGGGCCTCCTCAACCTAAAGCCTGAGAGACTTGAGTAATTTGATCTATTTTATTTGTTTTTATTTGTTCGGTTTGGTTTGAAAATCTCGCACGAAAATTAAATTAATTTAGGGAGCATGCGCCATAAGCGGATCCAAGGGGAGAGGGGAAGGGCGTGCTGCCATGCTATAGGAAAACGCCGTATGACCCCTCATACGTTGCCAAATTTCCTTCGATAAATCAAGCATTTTTAAGAAAATTTGTGAATATTTTCCCTCCGATTTTCCATGGAATTCATAACTTTCTTCAAAAGTAAGTATTTTCTAAGGAAAAATTTGGCAACGTTCGAATGCTCACACGGCGTCCTCCTTAGCACGGCAGCCAGCGTAGGGGGCGCACGCCCCTCACCGTTCGCCCGAAAATGGGAGGAAGAAAAAGGGAAGGAAGGAAGAAGGAATAAGGAATGGAGGATATAGGAAGGAAACAAGTAGCTTGAATTTGGTAATTATTCATTACAAAATTGACTCAAACTGCATTTTATATTACTTCGATGCTTCAAAAATTCAGAATTTTTAGGGTGAGGCTCCCGGCCCGACTCCCTTCCGCCCCCCTCGCGTTCAAGATGTCCAGATCCGCCTATGACACGCACATAACCGTATTGAGATTCTCAATGTGAGAAGAATCTGATTTCATTCATAATTTACTAAAAAGAATGGACTTAATCTTATCTCCAATCAGCTGTGAACAACTTTAGTTATATCATTTTTAATCAATTGTTTTTTTTTTTTTTTTTTTTTTTTGGTGGGCCATCAATTTGTAATAACTGACTCCGGATGTTGAGTGAGCCCAATTTTCATTTTTAATCATAGTTGCTCGAAAAGAGCTTATGGGTCTCTATTTGGTCTAGTGTAGTAAAAACTACTTGTATTATGCAGGGATATTTGCAAATTAAGGGGTTTCCGTTCCTTCCTTTCACTTTACATTTACTTCTGGTAAGTAATATTCTTCACGAGTAAATTTGGGAGCTTTAACTGCAGAAAAATTGATCGCGATAATGATTTTCATAATTACTGGAACCTTGCCTCAGCTACGCTTATCAGTGCAATTTTATAAACTTATGCATGTTCGCAATATCAGAACTTCCGCTTCGGAATATGCTCTACTTCATTTGGGTGAGTAGGCAAAAATGGCCGTAACGCATCAAATTAGTAACCCGGTTTGGTATTACCCGGTGACCCATTGATTTACATTTATGCAACATTTTAATACGCATTTCAAATTTCAAAATGTTCATCGTAACCCATAATTTTTAAATGAGCTTTGATTCCTTGCTTAATATTCTGAATTCTGTGATATCGTTTCAGGTGGGTTTCCTGGGCGTGAAATGTCAGGAGGGGCTGGATGATTATTTCGCCAAAACAAACGAGACATTGAAAAAAGACGCGAGCCAATACTTGAAAGCACTGGAAGTTTTCGAAAAAACCAATTCTAGTTTTGAATCTTTGACTACATCCATTAGGCACTTATTCAAGCACATAGATCTTTCCAGGCAGGATGAACTGTCCTCGGTCTTATACGCATTCCCGAAACTGCGCCCAGACCTCTTCCCCTTGGTTGAGGAGCGGAAGATTTCCCAAAGAGAATCCTCTCACAGAATATCTAACGTCTCCATCAAGAGGAAGGATGACTTTTTCTTCATATTCTTCCCCACTCGCACAAACGTGGAATGGATGTTCAAGTGCATAAATTACACGGACGGAAAAATGTTTTACAGAACGGTTCCGGAGCCAATCAAGGATTTGGTTATGGTGCAGCTAACTTGGGAAAAATCGGCTGCGTTTAAGGAAAATCGAACGCTGACGGCAGAATACCGATGGGCTCCGCATAAGGATGGTAAAAATACTGCGTTTGTAACACAAGAATTCAAGAATGATGATGAAGAATAGTGAATTCATACATGAAAATAAGAAGAATAATTACAGACAGGGCCGGATTCACCTACTTGCCACCCATGGGCCGCCTGGATTTTTTCGCCACCTTCTCATTTGTTTTGAAACATCAATAGATCGTATTCGACAGTGGTTCGATGTATCGTTTGGTTCAAAACAATAGAATATAACTTCAAACAAAAATTTTAGGATTTAATTTGGAAAAGCTGAAAATGAGAAAATTCCTAACAATTTCACTTTTCATTGCCATGTGGTACTCGAGAGAATAAAAATTCGATCACATAAGACCCGTTACCTCAGATTTCTGAATTGACTTTCGAGGCTGTGGTTACATATTGAACCAATCGATGTCAATAAAATATCACTTGTGTGATCTGTCGAATACGATCTATAAAAACCATCAAGTGAACGTGCCGGTGGGGGAGGAATGTATGAGATGTGTTTACTCGTGTTGGGCACATTTTTTGTGAAATCCCTGTCAACACCAACAAAAGTTCAGTTCCGTAAACTCATCCCTGTTTGGACAAGGTCTTCCATTTATAAAAAACGAACGAAAAAATTATGAAAGAACAAACATAAATGTGGTTAAAAATTCTAACTTCTACCGCCGCGCCGACCGCTCTGTGTTGGCGCAATGCGTGAAGTATTCATGCAGTCTTGTAGGCGCTATGCGTTTCCCGCCGAAGCCGACTGCTGCTGACCGCAGTGTGTTTGACGCAATGCGTGAAGTATTCATGCAGTCTTGTAGGCGCGTTTCATGCCTGCCGCCGCGCCGCCGCGCCGTTCCAGGTCAAATTGCGTGTTTGGTTTCTCTCTTAACTCGACTAATTAGAGGTGCTGTCTCTTGTATCACCGAAAGACGACAAAATTAGAAATTGCTATACTTTTACTCCTAGGAAATGAGAGATTTTGTCGCCTTTTCTCGTTTGTAATTTATTTTCTGAATCCGATTTTTTTCTCTCTTTTTTTGATACCTACATTCAAAAAGATAGCAAAATTTGCCGCCCCCTACATTTTGCCGCCATGAGCCACGGCCCATGTGGCTATCTATAATCCGGCCCTGATTACAGAGTGTTTATTCTTCTTCATGTCATCTTGAGAAGCATTTTTCATACGTCAAAAAACAACTACAACAACAAAACAACATCAAAACTCATAACAACAAAACTTTTAAACTTATAAGGTTCAGTAAATGTCGCTTGTTAAGTTTTTAAGTCTTTAAGTCTTTGAATTTCCTGAGTGTTTGTCCGTTTTTTATAAAAGACCGTTCTTTCATCAACCATTCTATTTCGTAAATTAAACATTTTTATTTGTGACTTTTTTAATTCGTTAGTTGACGTTAGTACACAGCGAAGCATTTCAATTCCCTAAAGCTTATTCTTTCAGGCACTCTAAGAAATTATTGCCGGCTTGGTTGGTCAGTGTCGCAAAGCAGATAAGTGTACGATAATTAAGAGTGCGACAAAATGATTGCCTAATGGAAAGGTATTCGAGCGCAGAAGCGACGTTTTGACAGCTTCATGTCGTCGCTCCTCTAACGTAAGTGTGTATATCTCGATTTTCACGTGAGTCCTGTTCGCCATATAATTCAATGCTTCCCAGGGATCATATAAGAACAGAGATATGCCCTTACGTCAGAATAACGGCGATGTAGTCGGCCACGGCGCGCTTCTTTGTGCAAGAAAAGTCAGAGTGCCTTCAATTATTAGGTATGCAACGCGGACAGCCCAGAAGCACGAATAATTGCATTTAGGCGCTGACATTGCTGTTCCGCCATATCAATCTACTAATATACTAACCGAAAGCGGTTTCTACAGTTTCCGCTTTAAAAATATTATAGTTTTATTCATTCTTCACGTAAAAGAGCATAAGTTCCTCCCCTCGTAGATTATTGCAAATCTCATCGGTGAAGTTACAAGACATTTATTTTACCCATATGTGTAATTGTTCATCTTTTTTGGGCTCACTCATTGTTACTACCGTAGAAATAATGTTGCGTGATTCTTCTTCGTTCATTCATGAATTTTTTGAAAATCGTGGAAATTCAAAAATTCTATGAAATTATCCATTGATCTCCTAAAGTGGCAACGTCGATTCCACACGGCAGTTGCAGATGTTTCGGGAAAGCGCAAACAAATCATGCAAGTACTTGGGCAGCTTTCTGAGCATGCTGTAAGTGGAGCGACAACTAGGCTGGTCGCCGCCGCCCGCCCGCCCGCCCGTCCGTCGGACGTTGTGAAAACCCGTGCGAAATGCGCAAAACCATCGGCCGATTAATTATGTTTGTTTCAAAATTCTCCAACTGCAAACCGAACCGCATTCGTGCAACCGCAATGCACCGCTCCCCGCTCGAAATTACACTGCACCCAGGAGTCATTACCACGAACGAGGTAATCTAGCGCCAGGTCGTATCGCGATTCCTACGTGAGCCCTGTTTTACATATGAATCCATGCTTTCTGGGGCTCATGTAGGAAAAGAGATACGCCTTTACGGTAGAGGAGCGGCGATATGGGAATATTGCACTCGGAGACAGAATATTCCAGACACTCCGCCGGCTCGCACTAAGGCTCGTAAAGGCTATTTGGACTCCGTTTTGCAATCGGGATCTACTATTTGGACGTATTTCTATCAAAAGGAACTATGTGCATTATGACGTGAGCCCTGTTATGCACATATTCTTATGGGTCTCAGGGCTCATGTCTCAATGCACATAGTTCCGTTTGATAGAAATACGTCCATTTGTGGCTCATTTCATAGACAGCATACGTGCCGTTTGACTCCTCCTGCATAAAGGTGTTTTTATAGATACGGCGGTAATAATGATTCCGTCTTGCGAAAAGGTCTCCCGTTTTTGAGTTCGATCTATATTTCGATGGCTGAAGTCTTAAAAATTCAAAATTCCGATCGCGACGAAACACATAGATTTGACCCACTGAAAAATAACCTCAGAGAGAAGGACGAAAAATACGGGGAATTCGTGCCTTGCTAAGGAAAAACGCCGTATGAACCTACAAACGTTGCCATATTTTCTTCAATAAAAACCGAAATTTTTTGGAATATTGTTACTATTATTCTTCAAATTTTTAGATAATTTACCTCGGGGTTGCATCTTAAATATCTGAAAATTTCAAGAGAAAATATTCATAGCTATTGCTATTCTCAAAAATACTTGTTTTATCCGCAGAAATTTTGCAACTCACGAATGTTCATGCGACTTCTCCCCTTAGTACAACGGATTTACATAGGGAACGGAAAGTAAATAAATCTCCAAAAATTTATTAAAATTATCCTAAATTTTCTTTTAAAAAAACCCTAATCGACCAAGCCATGGCGCCTGGAAAATTGCCTGTTGGAGATTTAAACATTAAACCAATGAAAATCAGCCTGATGCATTCGCGTCAAGGTTTCCCACCGGGAGTTATCATTATTCTGACAAAGGATCAGGACTAAACTCCCTGATCCCTGATATCAGTGATATCAGTGATCAATAATATCAGTGATCAATGATATCAATGATGATGATCATCGTCGTTCCGGGTTAGTTTGAAAATTCGATGTATTTTTGCCAAACGGAACTATGTGCATTAAAACAGGAGCCCTGAGATCCATAACAGCAGGGCTCACGTCATGATGCACATAGTTCCGTTTGGCAGAAGTACGCCTAAACGTCCAATTGATCTATCCTCCTCCATGAGCAAAGCACAGAAATGCGATTATTTTCTGATAATGTCCATATTTACAGTATTTAACCGCAATCACTAAATGCACACTGATGTGGACGTCGCACACGCGTTGAATGTTGGCTTAATGTGGAAATGTGGTGAAAAGTTGAGAAAAGTTTCAAAGGCTGATACAGTTTTTCGTCTCGTACAAGAAAATTGCATTCAAAGTCGATTTTTATTTCAATAATTGAAGGGCTTGGAGGAGAAGGCGCATGAGTGCAGTTTTTGAAAAAAATGAGACATTAATGATTTCAAGTAAAACTAGTCTTAATGCATATTCTGTGGACAATTCACACTCAAATTTCAATTTTTAAGCATCAAAAAGTCATTGTGAACTTTCTTCCCGTCGCAAGGATCCATGAAACTTCGAAACTTCAACGTATTTCTTGAAATTGCAAAAACTGCACTTATGCGGCTTGTCCTCCAAGCCCTTCAATACCTAATTTTTCAATAATCAAATAACATTTTTGAACTTTTTCTCGGCCAACATAAAATGTACCATTTTTCCACGAAATCCGAGTTTGCAGCCAACTGAGCGATGGAGTGGAGCTTTCGTGCCGCTAAGGCGCTTTAGAGTAGGTAATGTGTTAGTCTACTTAAGCGACACCCAGTCAGGCACATAATCTTTACACGCCGCTCATAACTTTACAGAATTCGCGGAAAAGAATTATCGAAGTAGAAATAGACACGTTAAACGGCAGAACAACGAGTGACTCAGAAATGCGAGTGGAAAAGTCGTATAGCTCTTTGAGAGGGTTAGTCATTACTATCAAACCAATGACTTGGTTAGCATAACAGCCCATTCGTAGCGCGAATGAAATTAATCATTTTTTAAAATAATAAGATGTAAATAGTTTTGCAAGAGCTCATCTTTCGTAATATTGGAAGAATTTCGCTCCCTTGCCAACAAAAAAATATTACGGTTTAAATCATGGAACATTTCGTATCGCGGCCTCTGATGAAGAGGAGAGGAGAGCTTAATAAAGCAGAAACGCTATTAATCTACAAGAATAAACTAAATAAATTTCGTAAATGCGAGGCAATGGACTGTGTGCGAACTCAATTGTGAAATAAGTTTCCTTGGCGCTAATGAACTGCCATTTTAAAAATGAACACTATTTTGCATAAGTTTTTCACGGGCAATTTTTCAACCCTCCTTCGCCTTTTCAGACACTTTTTTTGCCTAAATCGAGATCTCTTCTAAGATAGGATAGCCGGTTTCCGGAGCCTGAAGATCTATCAAAATTAAAAAAGCTGAAAGGCAAAGTTGAAAATTGCTAGAAGTGGATGAA